AGAAAATAGAATTAAATCCTGATTAAATCCTTGCAAAACTAAGCTGACTGAATTTCCTGCTCACAGATTGACAAGGTGCAGTACCTCCATTCCATCAAGGAGCTGCCCTCCAAGGAGTCCAGGCTGGCTCACGTGCTGCTCTTCAGCGGGAGCACGCAGGAGGCTGAAACCCTCCTGCTCCAGGCAGGGCTGCTCTACCAAGCCATCCAAATCAACATCAACCTCTACAACTGGGAGAGGTAAGAGATTTTTTTCCATTAAAACACAAAATTTTAAATATGAAATGCAAACTACAAAATAATAAATACAAAATACAAAAAAACTCTTAATTATTTCCATCAGTTGTTATATTACTGACTCACTTTTAATCTTTTAATCACCCACCAGTTCAAAAAAACTAATTAAATCTGACAATAACCAAAAAAACAGCATTTTTGTATTTAGAAAATACAAACATTTGGTGATAAAAGCCCAAAATATTCCTGGAAACATTTTGAAATAACATTAGTTTGCTTTCTCATCGCTGCTAGCACAGAGGAGCCCTCAGTGATGTCCCAGACTGGCTGTGGAATTTGGGCTGCTTGGAAATGTCTTGATGCTAAAAATAAAATTGTGGCTACCCAGACTCCCAGCATTGTGTAGGTGGAGAAAATATGAATTAAGGCTGAGAAAACAAAGGAGGAATTTGTCATTTAAACAAAACCCCCACATTTTCTGAGTTGTTTACTCCTAATTTCTCTGCCGTTACATTGATATTTTCAGGCAAAAGGTTGATTTTTCCCCCACAAATCTGTAATTTTGTTTTGTTACGAAGCTGTGTCAGGGGAGGTTTAAGCTGGATATTAGGAAATAATATTCTTTTATCTAAAAACTCTCTGTAGATCAAATATCAGTGTTTTTAAGCCATTGAGAAGAAACCAAATGTGAGTAATTCATTAAATCAATCCAACGTCTGACCTTTTCCACTTATGCAGTATTTACAAATGTTATATAAAATATATAATGAGTGTTCAGAACCTATTTCTGACTAGAAAAAACTTACTAAACATTATTATTTTTGTGCTAAACTCAGAAATATTCTTCATTTCCATGAGCTAAAAAGCCTCCTAGGGTTAAATTAATGATGTGATGAGGTTGTCAGTGGGAATAATTATTGGGTTTTTTCATCACTGGCTACTTTTATCCTCCTGATCCTAATGTGGGGTTGGATTTGGGATCTCTGCCCTGACCCGGGTGGTTGTGGTGGTGCCAGAGCATTTCCCCAGCCCAATTCCTGCTCCCTTGCAGAGCCCTGGACCTGGCAGTGAAGCACAGGACACACGTGGACACCGTCCTGGCTTACAGGCAGAAATTCTTGGAGGATTTTGGGAAAAAAGAAACCAACCAAAGGTTCTTGCAGTATGCAGAAGGTGTAAGTGTCCCTCAGGGTTGTTCCTGCTGGAGGGTGGGGTGGGTTTGCATCTCACTTTTCCTTCTGGAGTTCAAAAGTGAACAGAAACGTGGAATTTTTACAGGTTTTTCACAGGTTTTGGCCTAATATTGGGCTGCTTGGCCAGGAATAGCTGGGCATGGGTTGTATTTGAAGATTCACAATATATAGATTTAATATCTGGTGAAGATCACACAAGTGAAAGCACAGTTTATAGAAAACAGGGAGTTAAACTTTACCATGATTCATGAAGCATGGTTTCCAACATTTATTTCTGGCATTTTATGGATAGAAACAGTAAGAAACTTTGAAGGAATCAAGATATTTATGAACCACAAACAATTCTGATTTAAAATATGATCAACAGTTCAATATCCATTTGTTGGAAACCTTCTGCATCACCAGGAAATCAATTTATTAGTGTTTCACTGAGGGCACATCCTGAAGGATCTTGGATTCCACTGGAATATTTCCACACATTTCCCTCAGGAGAGGCACAATTCCCTCCTGTCCTTCTCCCCTCCTTGTTCCTCAGCATTCTGAGGAGGAATGCTCAAAAAAAGGTCTTTTCTTTGTGTGGAATCCTTTTATCCCCTGCAGCTGAGGGGTCAGGGAACACCTGGGCTGGGAATTCCCATCCTTCCATGGACACTGCCCAGAACTCTTGGAATAAATCTGGATTTCCCAGGGAAGCTCATTAGCTTTGAGCACTTTTAAGGAGTGTCTCATTTCCTAAGCAAAAGTCAGCCCCTAATGAACCATTCCACTGTAATTTACCTGGAAAATACAGAAAATAAAGCACAGAATCCAAGCAATTTTACCCTGCAGCTTTTCCAGCTCTGTGTGTTCTATAAAACCCATTATAGAGCAAAAATCACAGAAATTCCCTGATGCTTCTGATGGACATTGGAGATAATCCTGATTTTCTAAAAATCCTGCAGGAAGCTGCAAATTCCAGAAGGTTTCCTAAGGAATCCCACCTTGGCAGTGACAAGGTGTGAGCAGGATGGTTTTTCAGCTTACTCAGTCTTGAAGTTTGGAGATTTTTGAAGCTTTCTGAAATTTAATTTGGAAATTTGGAGATTTGATTGAAATTTGAATTTCTCACTCAGGAGATTTCTGGAGGGAAAAAGTCCTTTTCCACACCCAGGTGCTGGAGGTCTTTGCTGGATCTGTGAATAGGAGGGATCCACATCATGTGAATTTTAAGCTGTAATTAAATTCTGCATGGAACCTGTCAGACACAGAAAGCAAAATCAGAAAGAAATTGAAAAGAAAAGCAAGATTTTGTGCTGCTGTTCCTTCTCAGGGATAAAAAAGAGTCTCAGTTTCCCTCTCACAGCCTAAAACCTCCTTAGGCTTAAATAAAGAGGTTTTTTCTCTCTTTTCTGCAGCCAAGCAGAATCTAAAATTGTGCTTAATTTACATATCAGGTTCTCAATACCTTACACATATCCTGAGAATCCTGGGCCCAGCCAATGCCTCTAGAACTGAGGTGTTATTATTATATTTTCACCTGAGAATGTGGGTGTTTAATTTCACTTTCCCTCTTGGAGAATCTCCCCTGTTATTCCATTACTTAATTACAAGTGAAAATTCCCTGTGCAGCCCTTGAAATTCTTCTCCCATCCCACCTTTGCCAGTGTTAATTCTCCAGCAATAAACTGAGCTGCACAATGACATTTTTGGATGTGCTTTATGGTCATCAAATGCACCGTGATCCATTTTTTTTTTTCCTCGTCAAGCATTTTTTGGGGAAGAAACAACTTTTCTGCCCACATTGGTGCTGTGGTATTGTGCTGTGTGTGTTGCTTGGGGTTTCACTGGCACAAAACACAGCCAGAAAATGCCAAGGTTAAAACCAAACCTTTTATTGATGCAGAAGGGCAGTTTCCAGCAGGAATCTGATTTCTCTTGGAGCAGATAACTGCTTTGATATCCTATCAGCTCCTTGGAGGAGACAGCACTCCTAAATTAATGATGCAGGGCTAAATTTTCAGTAACAGGACGCTGATGTCATAAAATTAAATTAGAAGCAGGTTATTTTTGTGTTTTATTGCCAGACACAATGAGATTTATTAAAATAGCTCAGGCTTGGTTTATTTTAAAGGTGAAGCTCAGTTAGAACTCAGCTGTGCCTTTGTATCTTCCATTAGTTTGGGTACCCAACACTTGATAATTGTATTTTTAAATGGAATAACTGACCTGGCTCTCTGATGTTGAGCTCTGTGTGTTTCATTTTTCTCTTCTTGCAGCTGGAAGTGGACTGGAATAAAATCAAAGCCAAAATAGAGATGGAAATTGCTAAAGAGAGAGAACGAGCAGCAGCCAGTGCTGCAGGGAGGAGCAGTGTGACTGTGCAGCAATAATTCACATTTTGGGCACCTTCAAAGTGCTGCTTCAATATTTCATACTGGTTTGTTATAAAAAAAAAAAGCCACAGCAAACATTTTGTGGGTTACAGGAGTGAGAATTTCTGTGGATTTGAATCTTTGGGTGACACAGGAGGAAATATTTCATTTCGAGCTGGGTTTGTGTTCTGATGTCAGTGATGACTGCATATATGAGAAAAAATGGAATTAACAGTTCCTCTCTTAGTGATGTTAAATTTTTATTGCCATTAATATTCTTTAACCTGGGTTGCCTCTACTGAAATCACAATTTGAGCCCCAAGTGAAGCAGTTTGGTTATTTCTGCAACCCCAGGGACCTCTCCAGACTGGTTTCAATTGCCCTAAAACAAATTTAGCAAACTGGAAGTGCTGAAAATCCAAAAAAAAAATAAAAAGGAGCTTGAGCCTCTCAATTACAAATATTTCCCTCACAGTAGAGGGAATACATATGTGTTAGTGAGTTTTTTAATAGATGATTTCAGATCATTTCAGCAACTCAGGTTTGTCACTGAGCAAAACGTTCAGCAGTAAAAGGATTTTTTTGTTTTGTTTAAAATACTTTGGAATGTGCTTTCAGGCTTGTTGGAAGTAACAAACAGCACATGCAGCATCTGACGTGCAGAATTGACAATATTTAAAATAAGAGAATATTTCATGTATTTTTTCTGCCCAAAGCACTTGATTTGTAAATAATTTTTTTTTAATTTATGTTATTTCATCAAGATACACTTTCCTTTGTTTCGCACCAAAGCTGGCTGCATTCTCTTCATGTTATAAATATATTACCAGTTTGTTCATCACTGACAAAGTTTATTACGTATCTTCCAAATGTTACCAGCAAAATGTTCAATATCTGTACATACAGCAAATTTGTAAAGCATTCTGTGACCCTTCCTTGCACAGTTCATAAATTTCTTAATAAAACCAAATTAAAGTGGAGGTTTTTAATGTGTCTGAGAGCTACTGCACGTGGGGATCTCCCCTGAGTGCTAAAAAAAGAATATTTGGGGTGTTTTAATTACATTTGGAAGGGATGGGAGAGGTGTTTAATTCCATTTTTTATCACACACATCCTGGTGTTAAATAGAAAACAAAGCAAAATATTTTGGAGGAGCACTTTTATTTCTTGTTTTCACCAGGTTCCAAATACAGTCATGACCCTGGGTATGAGATCAGAATTTCAGGATATTCTCAGGAGAAAATGTTCCTATATGATTTTACTGGCAGGGATTTTGGGGATTGTCGTTCCAAGCTGGTTTTTCTGGGGTTTGCAAAGTTTTGCATTGTATTTTTACCTGTTTTCAGTTATTTTCAGTATTAAGTAAAAATAAATAGCAGAAGGATACAGATGTTTCAGGTACATTTTGGTTACATTACTGCCCAGAACAAGAAATTATTTCAAAACCCTCTTTTAAAAAGAAATACCTCTTATTTAATTATTGACTGCTTAATGTAAACCATCATAAACCAATTTAAAAAACAGAGAATAATTAACATGATTAAAATTCAGTCATTTAGGTGCTGCTGTGATGGATCAAAAGTCAAAAATAACCCAAATTTTGCCATAGCAGGGTGGGAGTTGAGTTCATTCACTTCATTTAACCTTGGCCACAGTAAATCCTCTCTGATTATAAAAAGGGAGGTTGAAAAATACATCTTTAGGTGAAAAACAAAGTCCTCAAATGAGGCAAAAGTAAAAGCTCAGGTGGGTGTTTAACTCCTACTGCATATTTGTAAGAGTTCAGAGGAAAAATTAAAAATAGCTTTTGTTTTCTGGTTTTTAAGGCAATAAAACTTTGAGATCTGGATTTGTCTGTGGGATTTTACCCTTTGGGACTGGCAAAGGAGGAAGGTTTGAATCATCTGACATGAAAATTTGATTTTACAGATTATGTGGAACTGTATCCTGCAGAAAAACTGATGATTGTTGCCTGATTCACTTGAACGTAGTCACAATTATAAATGAGCAACTATGGAAAAGCTCAAAGCTTTCTAAAATTTAATTCTGAAATTTTAATTGGTATTAATATAAAGTTTGTATCACCTGCCGCTGGGGGCAGGTTGGAGAGAAGCTATTTACTATTTTTATATTATAGATATGTTTTTATATTGGTTTTTATTAAACATTTGAAGACCTCAGTTTCTTTATTTTCATGATAACAGAGATGAGATTTTACTCTGCAGGGGATGGGGAAGAGCCAGGGAGAAAAATGGTTTTTATGAATTGATCACATGTGAGAATCTCTATTTCCAAAGTTTATTTGTATTGGTCCGAATCAGTCAGGAATTGCTTTGTGCTATAAAATTTCCAATCCTGAGATTTGACCTTTTTCATTTTAGTTCAGGTGCCTTTGCCCTCCTGTAAAAGTTTGGGAAAATAGGATGGGGCTGGTACCTTCAGGGGAAGAGAGGGATGAGTCTGCACAGAGCTTGGTTGTACAAAACAATTAAATATTTCATTATTTCTGTGTTTTCCATGAAGGGTTTGCAAGAATTATTTCACTTTCTATAAAGCAATGAGTGTGCTGGTTGGAGCCCTGCAGTTTGAAAAGCTCTAATGTGTATTTTAAATAAACCTGCAGGTTTGCTTTGCCTTTAGAGACACCTTCAAGAGAGAGAGAGGAAAGTGAAAGGAGCTCGTGGCTGCTGCTCCTGCACTGAGCACACCCTCCGTCCCAAGTGCTAACAAGCCAAGCTAGGAAAGGAAAACAAAAGGTATTGAATGCAAATTTTGGGCAGTTCCACTGTCAG